CGGAGCTGTCCCCGAACGCACCACAGCACATTGAGCACCCCTGTGTGCTCAGTGCTGAGGGGACCTGGTGATCATGGTCACCAGGAAACCGCCTTGACACGTCTCCAGAACACTCCCAGCGGACCGTCCTGCGCGCTATTAGAATCACGATCTCTGGGATGCTTCAGGGTCTGTGCAGCAAAGATGAAACCATCGGAAAGGCTCTGGCACGTGTCTGCCACGCAGGAAGTGCTCAGGCAACGCGCATTTACTTCGTCTCTCCTCCCCTCCTTTGGGCCCCAGGTTCTGTCTAAACAACGGGGAACATCTGTCATCGACGCTGGCCACCGGGGAGTAAACTAGGCCACAAAAGCACACACCCCCCACTCCTCCCACTGTCCCACTGAGAGGTGGACAGAACAGCGTGACAGATACGCAAATAGACTATTACATCAAGTATGGAAGAGCGATGTGACTCAAGAGACTCGCACTTAATTTTTGGTGTCACTCTATTCCTTCCTGCTCCGGAGCAAACTGTGGGAGAACCAGGGTCAGGAGAGGGAAGTATTTCTGGACAAGGATGGGCCCTATGAGGGCAGCTTCCCTCGGAACGCGGGGCTGCACCAGGCCCAGGCCCAAGCCACAACGGACCCGGATGAAGGGAGCCCAGACGGCCCTGCACCCAGACCCTCACAGCAGACCCTCGGCAGAGGCCGCTCGCTCTCACTTCTTGCCCTTTCTTGTCCTGGCATCTCTGGCTCATTTTTAAGTTCAGGATGTATTACCTCCTCCAGAAAAGCTTTGGGGGACACCCCGGCAGAATTCATTGTCACTCCCCCTCCTGTGTCCACGCTCAGTGCGCTTCCGTCTACCGTGGCGTCTCCGTGGGCACCCGTGGGCGCTCATGTGCTGGACCAATGCCCAGTCTGGTCTGCAAGAACTGCGCCTGGTTCGTCTTTACATCCCTGCCAACCAGCTCAGGACCTGGCACACAGCAGGCATCCAACAAAAGTCTTCTCCCTACCCTACCCTCGGCGCCCCCAGCTTTGGATTCTGGAATAAACACACCACAGAGGTTCACAAAGGTTCACAACACCATGATCCAGGCTACAGATGGGGATCTCATTTTTAAAAAGAAGAAAGTCTTGTGTTCCAAAGGACAGTTTATTTAAAACAAAGGTGGCAATATGTAGGAAGTAGGGAGAACAACGAATTCTAACATAAAAGCACACAGGAAGCACCTCGAATTTAGAAAAAAAGGGGGTGGGGTGCAGGGAGGAAGCCATCTCTCAGACATACACGACCTGCTGACCTTGATTATTTACATCCAAACTTCATAAAATACCATTTCAAGTTGGCACTTCAGCCAATGTTATCAGTTTTCATTACAAAAAGTTAAAGCTACAAACTTCACATTTTTAAGTTGTACATCAGCAATAGCATTTAAGCTTTTTCCAAGCTGGTTCGAGTGCAAGCTGGTGGAAGAGGTTTTTTTTTTTCCCCAAACACAAAAAAGAACACAGAATCTAAATACAGTGAATATAATCCTGATGAAAACACACAGTGTGTAAGGAAGGATGGGGTGGGAGGCTGAGGAGCTGCGATCTTTAGAGGCAAAGTGGTATCTGCTGGAAAGGGCACTAGAATCAGAATCGGAAGACCTGCCCTGGAATCCAAGCTCCGCCGTATTTTAGCTGCACGACCTTGAGCGACAGACTTCGCCTCTCTGAGCCTCAGTTTCCTTCTCTGTAAAAGGAGGACCATAATACCTAGATTTCCCAGAGCTATTAAGTTTGAATAGAGGGCGATTCAAATTATCTATGGAGTGAGCTTTGGTGTTTTGTATCTTTCAGGGAATCTGTCCATTTTGTTCAAGTTGCTGAATTTATTAGCATAAAGTTGTTCATGAAATTGTTCTTAGCCTTTTAATATCTGTAGGAGCTAGAGTGATGTCACTGCTCTCATTTCTGCTATTGGTAAGAGCTATTGAAATTTAATGGTATAATAAGTCTCTGGCATCTGGCAGCTGCTAAATAATTGTTTCCTGGGTCAGAATATACAGTCTCAAGGACTCAAAGCTATAGCTCTTAAATCACTTCAGTGTACTGGTCCTATCTATCCATCTGTCTGTCTAGCCAGCCAGCCAGCCAAACATCCATCCATCCATCCATCCATCCATCCATCTATCCATCTATCTATCTATCCATCCAGCTGGTGGTTGGGAGAAAGGACAAAGGAAAAAGAAAAATAGAAATCTGCTTCAGAATTACTGATGAGGAAGCAATTAAGATATCCTTAGAGAATTTGAGATTTTTTTAAAGACACAATTAGGTGTGGGTCATTGTTTCTTAAAAGGAGAGACGAGGTGAGGGCCACAGGGTTCCCTGGGAGCTCAAGTCGCAGCTGAAGCTCAAGGCTCAAGGAGAGCTCTCGGACTTATCCGGAAGCTAGTGCTCCTGGGAAAGACAACGAGGACTCACCCCTCTGCCTGTCCATCACCAGGACGCAAATACACTGTGCCAGGAAATGGACCTGCACCAAAGAAATGGACTCCTGGCCAGAGGCTCTGTCCAGTGAGACTGGGGAGCGGTGTTCTGTGCTGGGCCCGCATGGGCGGGTGCACACAGGCCTGGAACAGAATCAAGTCCGGATCAAGATTCATGACCCAAGAATATTTACAGGGAAAAACTGAAACTTTCTTTTACTTGGCTCTAGCTTAGGAAGGAAGAAATGGGCACTTCCCATCCTGTCTGGCCAAGTGCAAAGTCCTTTCTAAAATGGAAGAGGCTGAGGCAGGGCTGCTCGCGAGCGCAGCAGATGGTGTGGGGGAATGCACGCTCCGTGCTGAGGTTGGTGGGACTCTCTTGGCTGTCAGACTTGACAACTAACTCAGCCATTTCCCAACCTAAAACTGCCAGTTGGAGTTATCTCTTCTGTGCAAGAAAAGGTAGTCACTTCATTTTAAAGACTGGTGATTTTCCTCTTCCCTGTAAATACTGGTCGCACGTGGTGATGCCATGAATCCTGATTCTGCCACTCACTAGCCGTAAAGCCCCGGGAGACATGTTGCCTTTTTCTCTCTGAACTTACTCCTTCACCTGTGAGGCGGAGATCAAGTACTTAACTCATGGAGTTGTGGTAAGGTTTGGATCGGACATCTATAAAAAGCCCACCGACCTAGCTCAGTGCCGGGCATATACTAAGTGGTCAGTGAATGCTAGCTGCCATCGATCCTTCTAGTGGGATCCTCTGTTCTCTGTAGCTGCCACATAACTGCCTAACTGGCCAAACCCTGCGGACCAACCACGGCCTCTTACATTTTTAAAAACTGGCTTTAATTGCAAAGACCAGAATCTGGCCAGAGAAGAAAGAGGAACATTCCCTGCCATTCCATTGATTCCTAGGTTTGGGAAGCAAAAGCAATTATGGAGTCAAATTACACTATGTTTAGGTGCAGCCCAGTCAGAGCTCCCCACCTGAGGGGAAGAGACATTAAAAAATAAGCAGACAGTTGCCTTTCTTTGCTGTCTCCTCTTTGCCGTGTGACTACACGCCACGTGGCCTCGAGCCAGTGCTGCAGAGGGATGGCTCAGTGCTGGGTTTCTGTGAAGCCCTCTGATCCGCCCGAGGCCCCAGATCGCCTGCGTCGTGCGGTCCGCTGTCCGGCAGAGGCTGCAGAGTCACAGACTGGTCGAGCCCGAACCATCTGGCTTTCCCTGGGGGTCCCATCCTAGCCAGTCATCCACTGCTGAGACCAAGAACGAGCAAGCCGCCCTTGGTAGGGTGCCCCAGGACAACTTAACCCAAACCGACACTGGTTTCTCCCCCTGGGAAAGCGAACGCTTGGATTAGTGGCCCAGGAGGAGCGATGGTCTCGTCCCACCTCTTACTTCAATTTGCTTTGTGATTTGGTCACCCTGTCCCTTCCCCTCTCCGAGCCTCAGTCGGGCCAGATGATGCCTGGGGTCCCTTCCAGCCCTGGCATTACACGGGCCCGGACAGAGCTCTCCTGGGGAACGGGTCTCAGTCTGATATTCATGTATCCTTTCCAGACCCCTCAGCAGTAAAATAAAAAGGAAAACAGTCACATATTGGAATGTGATCACAAAAACAATGCCCTCTACCCCTGTCTGTAAGGAATGTGGAGCAAGGTGCCCCGTGCGATCTTCGCATGAACAATGAGGACTCTGGACACACCTTCCCTTCTGCAGACTGCACAGAGCCCCGTGTGTGTGGAGAGGTCCTGGCAGGCCCGTCCCCGCACTGGGTCACTTCTCCTCTTAAGGCACTGGGCAGTATCTGTGCTGTGACTCGAGGCGGTCGGGAGAGAGCAGATGGATGAAAGGCATTGAAGCCACAAGGGGCCATTTGCAAAGAGGATGCCAGGCTTCTCCTGGGACTCAAGAAGTAAACACAGACTCTCAAGGCTGTCCCTCGGACGTGGTCCACAGCTCCAGAAGGCAGAGATGACCCACACAAGGCTGAAACCCTGGGGAAGAACTGGCCCAAACCTAAATTTTTAAATGCAGCCCTGCAGAAGGGTGAGCTTGGGTCCTGGGAGCAGAGTGACCCTGACAGCCTCCCGGCGTCCCCTGCCCTCCTGTCCCACAGTACCATAATCTTACAGAAAAGAACCCAACTGTTTAAAACTGTACCTGTACAGAGATGCCACCACACTCGGTGGGGAATCCAGTTATAATTTATATATATATGTGCATATTTATATATTTTTAAAAAGTCTTCCAGAAAGAACAGTTGAAAGCTATTGGGAGAAGAAAGTCAAGACAACATGTAACACTTTCCCAGCTATCACACCCTGGAGTGTCTGTTCCTGGGGTTTAAAACTCTGAGTTTAAAAGCGCCGATACAAGTCCTGTGAGATACTCTGACTGACTTAAATACACGCGCGAGGCAGCACGCTGACGGGGCAGCCCTTCCCACCGGCGCACTTCCTGAGCTCACGAAGGTGAAGGTGCTGTGGAGGGACGACGGGGCAGGAGCGTCGGCGGACAGCCCGAGCGGCCCGAGGTCACCGAAGCTGGGGCGCGGGCAGGCGTGCCGGGCCTCCCTCCCTCAGAAGTTTTGTTGCCGCCGTTTCTTAGCCTCAATGGCGTCCAGGATGGGCTGCCTCTTGGACTGGTACTTCTGCCGGATCTCTTCAATCTCTTGCTCCATCATGGGGTCGAGGGCCAGGAGCCTCTTCTGAAGGTCCTCCACTGTCCAACTCTTAAGCTAGAAGAAGTGGAAAGTATGGTCACGACAAAGCCCAGGTCAGCACAGAACAGCCGAGAAGCCCAAGCGGTCTGGGCACCCGGAAGGGAAGGGTCTTCCCAGAGTCTGGGCTGGAGGCGGTTGGAAAGTGACAATTCATTCGCGAATGGTACGCCCCAAGCTCTTTGGACACAATTTATCCCTAGACAAGTTCTAAGCGCTAATTTCTCTGACTTACTCTGCCTTGACCAAGAACTTAACCAGTAATATTTTCATCTCTCCTATCCTTTCAGTGAATTACGTTATTGATGCATTGTTAGGGCATTAAAGTAAGAGCCACGGGGCGCCTGGGTGGCTCAGTGGGTTAGGCCTCTGTCTTCGGCTCAGGTCATGATCTCTGGATCCTGGGATCAAGTTCTGCATCGGGCCCTGCTCCGCAGAGAGCCTGCTTCCTCCTCTCTCTCTCTCTGCCTGCCTCTCTGCCTACTTTTGATCTCTGTCAAATAAATAAATAAAATATTAAAAAAAAATAAAAGTAACAGCCTCTTGGTGTACGCAAAATAATGCTTGCCCCTAGTTCTTGTCCTACCCGGGAGACGAGCCTCTGGATGGTGACCGTGTCTCTGTTTGGGTCCCACACCAGGGAGAGTGGATGCTCCCTGAGGATCAGATGCTGTCCCCCCACCGCCCCCTAGTGACTTAAGTACGGCCACACTGGTCATCACTAACACTTACTGGGTGCTAACCAGACACCGGCACCCCGGAAGTGCTTTGTACGCGTTACCTACACGAGCATCTCGAGAACGAGACGTAAGCCTTGGGCGGGGAGTGGGAAGGACAGTTGGAAACCTCTGCGATTAAGTTTCCATCATCCAGGGGAACAGCAGGACTTGATGTATAAACTAATAATAAGAGCCAGCACTTACACAGTGCTTTCTGTGTGCCGGATGCTCTATGCTCTACACACATCCGTTCATTTAATCCTGGCAACAACCCTATGAAGATTTGCATATATTATTATTCCCGTGTTACAGAGGAACAAGGAAGAGGGCTGGGAAGTAACCTGCCCAGTGTCTCCTGGCTAGAAAGTGGCAGGATCACTGTTCAGACCCAGGCAGTGAGGCTCCAGAGTTCTGGCCCCTAACTGGAATCACAGACGAGCAGACTCACAAAGCCCAGGTTTGAGAACCGACTCAATCTGTAATGAAAACATGGCTCTGCCTCTTGCAAATGCTGAGACTCTGGCAAGTCACCCGTCTCTCCAGGCCGTCCTCCCCTATGGAAGTGGGACAGCCATGCCTCATGGTGCTTACCATGAGAATTAAATGAGATCGTGGCTGTCGAGATGCTGGCACATGCCCGCTGCAGCGTGTCCTTAAAGACGGCAGCGCGTGTCACAAGCCTCTCTCTTTACCAGAGCCCAGGAGTGTGCTCATGTTCACCCCGTGACTGCTGCTGTGGGGCGAGTGGTTTCGCCGCCGTGCATGGAGTGTCGCCGAGTCCGAGCAAGGCCCGTCCTGGCTGGCAGGGGTGGGAATGAAAGCCGCCATTGTCCACAGCAGGTGGTGATTAACTGTGAGCTTAAACCAGTCTAATAGGTGCAGTGTTCCAAGAACTCAAAGGCCCACTCACATCTTCGGAGAGACATTTATGGAGTCCCTGTGTCCCCCAGCCCCTTCCTGAGGCCTCAGCAGGGAAGTGGTGTGGGAAGGGGGTGAAGGAGCCTCTGTCTGCCCTTCCTCTCCAGGGTGGGGTGCGACCGAGGGGGAAGGACTACTGTGGCCTCCCCAGGAATGGTTTAGTGCCCTGTCGCCACAGGAATTTGCCTTGGCCTGCTTCAGGGAGGTGGTCTGAGAAGCAAGAAAAGCCCAACAGTTCAAGACGAAAGGCTCTTTGTGATGTGGGAATACAGAGCCGAGGGGGTGGGATGCTGGAAAGCTGCACCCGTAAAACCACATCTCCTTTCCAGCCTGTGTTTCAGACCAGCTGGAGGGTGTTCTGGGCTGGGAACTCTCCAAAGAGCAATGCTCGCCTCATTTTTAGCCTTTTCAGTTCCTCCTCCAAAAAGAAATTGCCCCAAACCTAACACCGAGTGTTACTGGGAGTTGAAGTATTAATCTTTAAGATCCCAGATGGGGGGACACCTGGGTGGCTCAGTTGGTTAAGCGGCTGCCTTCTGCTCAGGTCATGATCCCAGCGTCCTGGGATCGAGTCCTGCATCGGGCTCCTTGCTCGGCGGGGAGCCTGCTTCTCCCTCTGCCTCTGCCTACCACTCTGTCTGCCTGTGGTCATGCTCTCTCTCTCTCTCTCTCTAACAAATAAATAAATAAAATCTTTAAAAAAAAAAAAAAAAAGATCCCAGATGGGGCGTCTCTAGTGGCTGTGCGACCCTGGATGAGTGACTTCACCTCTGAGCCTCGCGTCCTCCTCTGGAGAAGAGACCCCCGTTCCGCCATTTTCGGCTCTCACGAGGACCAGGTTGGGTAACGGGTGTGAGGTTTTCAGCGCAGAACCTCATGGGGTATGCATTTCGCAGACAGGAAGCATTCCATAAGCCGGACTCACCACCACAGTTACTAATACCTGCTATTGTTGCTGTCATTACTACTGCTGTTATTACTAATATTTTGAAAAGTCTCTAATGAATCTCCCATAAACATACTGTTCTGATCCAAGCCAGAATCACACAAGTAAAAAAGAAAATATTCTACTCTATTTCGGGCTAACAATGTGTAAGGGTCGGCATTTTCCTACAACATCTGTTAACTTATTTATAGTTTAACAAAATATTTTTCATCCACACACCCGTCAAATATGCACTGAACACCTACCATGGGCCAGGCGCTGCCTAAGGCACCCAGGATAAGAGAACTAAAAACCAAGTATCACTGCCCTTGTGAAGCTTGCATTTTAGGAGGCGAGAGAGACACTGGAGAATGAACTTGGTCAATCAGAAGGTTACTCTTACACGAGAGGGTGTCAGGGGAAAGGAAAGAAAACCCTCAGTGAAGGGAGGGGAGCTGGGAATTGGGAGGCCCGCTCTTCGTCAGGACGAAGCGTCACTGCAGGATGAAGACATCAAGGTCAGGGGAGCGGCCCTGGCTCTCGGGCTTGTTCTGCAGCTTGAGACAAGCCCCCCCTGCCCGCCAGGCCTCCGCGCCCATCCCCGCCCCCCACCCCCGGCTGCCACCCTTAGCGGGCTGCCAAGATGACCTCAGGTCTTCTTACACTCAGGGTTTCTCTCTGTAGGACCCATGGATCGTAAGCATTGGAATCACCAGTTAAAGGTTAGAAGTCACGAGCAACTCGCTCACACTCACTCTCTGGGAGGTGAGGATTCTGCTCGCTAAAGAAGCTACTCGAGTATTTCTTGTAATTCCTCAACTCTGATGACCATCATTCCACAACCTCCTCTTATTCCGCACAGCAAAACTCTCATAAAGTAATTGCTGCCTGTCTCCGGTCGGCTTCGAGGTGTCCAATTTCTTTGCAGCTTCCGCCCTTGATCTAATCTGGAGGCAACGAGCACCCTTGCTGTACCTCCGCCACCTTCAGACTACTTTACTTGCTCTAAGGCTCTGGGCTTATGTTACACCTGGCCCATTAGGACACAGCCAGTCAGTCACCACTAAAGCCTCGGTCACACTCCAGATATGGATTTTTCTGTAAACAAGCTCAGAGAATGGTTCCGTGGCACCAAAAGTAGCATCTCACCTTCCTGGTCCTTGGGAGCATAAATATATTTCAAACGGACGCCTTGCCGTGGAGCACCTGCGGTGCTCCGGTTCTGCGAGCCAGCTTTCTGAAGGAGCAAATGTGCAGGGAGCTTGAGCTGCTTACAGTGGCGGCAGGAAGTACCACCTTTCAGGACCTTTCTGCCCCCAGGCATTTACACATCCTCTCTGTACTGCGACTCCCACACAGTACGGCTCCAGAGCAGCATTCTCCTCTGCACACCAGGCTCATGCATCCAGGGGCAGATCCTACTGCACACGGGGGCCCTGGATCAGCTCATGGAAATCCGGCACCTTAATCCGTTCCCTCACCCCCAAACCAGTTCTCACATCCGGTCTGCCCCATCTCAGGAGTGGTACCGCCATTCCACCAGGTGCCCAGAATCATCCCTGATTCTTCCTTCCCCTCACCACCCCTGCCCATATCTCTAAAACATGGACATAACTCGAATCCAACCCTTCAATCCAGGCTGCCAGCATCTCACAGCAACAAGCATAATTAAAAATACAGAAACGAACCAGATCACATCCCCCTAGGTTTCCTGCTGCACTTAGCATAAAATCCAATAATGCACCAGGGCTACGGAGGCCCTCCATCTCTGGTCCCACTGTCCCCACGAACTTCATCACCTGCCACTCTCCCCTTTGCTCAGGACCCTCTAGCCACCCTTTACTTCAAATCCTCAAACAAACCACACTCTTTCTGGCCTTAGTGACTACACAGTGACTGATCCTTCTGCCCGGATGGCTCGTCCCCAGTTCTTCCTTCTCCTTTAGGCCTTACCTCACAGGGCAACTCCTCAGAGAATCTGACCAAGCCCTCCCTGAGCATCTTCTCTAGAAAGGTCGCCTCCCCTCCATGCCTTGTTCTCTCAGCCCCTAGTTTACTTCCTTCAAAATGATCACGGCACCTTGTAATCAATCATTTTGACTTTTATTTTACTTGTTGTGTCTCTTACTAGGACGAAAGTTCTACGAGGGCAATGACTTTGTCTTGTTCACTACATTATGTGTTAAACTGGTTGAGGGAAAGAACAAACTGCCCTTTGTTCCCGGCCAAATAATAATGGAAGCCACGGACACCAAGAAGCAAGCTTCCCGAGCACCACCGCGTGCAACAGGGCTCCGGGTGAGATGCAGAGGGGACCCAGGGAGTGCGTGCTGCCCTTAGAGAGCTTCTATTCCTCTCAACATTCTCCTGAAATCAAAGGAAGTCTCTGCTCCCTTGATTCCCATTTCTGTGTTTGATACTGACTGGTAAGGAGCAGGTCTCCGATCCTGGCTTAG